TAGCGTTTCCGACGCAGCTCGAGTTCCTGAAGAGGAACACAGCGCTATCAGTAAAGCGACGGCGAGTTGTGCGCCTTCACACTAGTTTACGGTTCGTCAAATACAGGTGCGCTGCGTGCTACATACTGCGCATCCATTTAGTACATGACATGATCTATTGAGCGCATCCAAATAGTACAGATCGCTTGACGGAGAGCGAAACTCTCAAGCGCTCAGTCAGCGTGTTTATCGAGTGAAAATCTGTGTTGAACGCCTCTCACACACATACTGGCGTGTAAAATCTAAGAATTTATTAGCCAATGGCTAATGTCGGACATTATTTAGTCGCCCAGAGTAAGATTTAGTCGCATATGCGAGGGATTTACTCGCAATGTAGAGGGTTGCATTAGCTGAAGCTGTGTGTGAACATTAAGCGGCTGCAGAGTGTGAGTTGCTCCATCTCTCACGCAGCCAGAGAGAGATTCTCCGGTGTTCTGCAACAACGCTTAGCTGCCCGCAGATGCGCCTGCCTATAAATCGGCCTATTTTGCAGCACAATCGGACGATGCAGATTAATAAAAAAATGCCAAAGACCTCTACTCTTAACGTCATAGAGCTTACGTACAGTATTCAAGCCGCTAATGTATATAATGTACAAATTATTAATGTCATGTCATTCTCACGATAATGATAATGTAACCATAGCAATAGTGACTAAAAGTAAATATCAATGCACACAACGCAAGGTCGGTCAAAGAGCAATGTGTGATGATGATTGTCACCAAACTCACTCTCAAAATGCAGTCCTGAAATGCATCAATCTTGTTCATAAATGAACTCTCTGTTAGAAGCATGATTGTCCAGTAGCTTACTGTCACTACTATGCTTGAGCCAAGCGACAACTCACCTTGCCATCCTGGTTTGCACTGGCAGCGCTTGGCGGAGCTGTCACATCGTCCCCGCAGAGGGAAGCCACAGTGAGAGGAGCAGTAGGGCACGTCACAGGCCTCTCCTTTCCAGCCGTCCTCACATACACACTGCACAGAGTCACTGGAATTCCCCACACGACACTCCCCACGATCGGAGCAGTTATTGGGGCAGGTATTTAACCTGGGTAGAGCAGAAAAACACAGAGAAATCAATGCAACAGGAAATCCCACATCTGTATTGATAAACTAAAATGTGTGCCAGGGCTCTACAGTGCGACCATTTCAGTCGCATTTGCGACTGAAAATTACTGCGTGCGACTATGAAAATTTTTTTAGGAGCACCAGTGCGACTGACCCGATCATCATCATACTTGTGATTGTGCTCAGGGGAGCTTCAAAGATTTCTACGTGTTTTTGCAGCATTGAGCAATGTAGCCTATTACAGACATATCTTACGAATCCTTTCATAAGCAAAGTGTAGAC